GCTGCTAGCACTGGACTAAGCGCGTCCAGTACTTGAAGGGCACTTTTGGCGGACGGTGTATTCATGTCGCTTAACAACATGCGAATGATGTCCACTAATGATCTTAGCATCACCATCACGCGATGATCTGGCTTCCCGGCCGTTGCAGCATTTTGTGCTTGTTCTTGAGGCGGCTTCTGTTGAGACTCAACAGGTCGTGTAGGCGGCTTCTGTTGAGGCTCAACAGGTCGTCTAGGCTGAAGGGGTGGCCATTTCTTTGGAGAGAGAGATCTTCCAGCATCTTCTCTTTCAGCGCAGATGTTTGCCGTGCTAGGAGCCGCGATTGTCGATTTCATTTGAGTTTCTGGCCTTCTCGTTAGATTTTGCACTGTTCTTCGTGAGGACCTTCGACGATGACGGCGCCTTCGCCTTACTTTTTGCGCAGCTTCTCTGTGAGTCGAGTTGTCTCGCACCATTTGCCTCAGTATATAAATCTCTTTCTTAATCTGAGGACAGTTCTTGGAGGAAGCACTGTGAGCTACTTGGCAGTTGGAGCATTTCAACGTAGTTGTATTACAGTCGTCTTCTGAGTGGTGTTCAGCGCATCAGGGGCACACTTCGGAATTTCTGCAAACGTCCTTCACGTGGCCAATCTTCTGGCACTTGAAACACTGCATAGGCTTCGGAATAAATGGATAACCTGGTGACGGAAATGGCCAACCTTCACGTAAGAGGGAAGACAGTCACCCTTGAATGTTAGTCGCACACAACGAGAGTTGCCTAGGCGACCAGCATTCACAATGACGTTGTTTTCACTCACTGGTTTTTATCAGTACAGGAAGATCTTCATTGGCGATTTCTGTGTCTATGTCATAGATAACTCCTGTTACGGTGTCACCATTCGCTGGTATGATGGATCGGACTTTGATGTTTCCCAGCTCTGACACATGCTGTAGCGTGTTCAGTGCACTCGGGTTCCTCACGTCGATTGCCAAAATATTCTTCCTCGTGTATATCCTGATGTCCTTAATCTCGTTAGGCACAATGTTTTCAAGGTACAAGGACTGTACTTGCCTGTTGAGGAAGCGTAGATTGGAAGTAGTAGTCTGCGGTACAAACAGAATGGAGTGAGGCCATCGCTGAGGTGCTGTCCTCACAGTGGCTGTACTTGATGCCGATGATGCGTTCATGATTCTTCGTTTGGCCTTGCGGTAGAGCACAGGTTCGAAGTCGTCTTCCGAGGACTCGTAGTCTGATGCAGAGTACAGCTCGGTATCCTCGCTCTCACCAGATGGATTACCACGCTTTCTTGAAGCAACGCCCGTAGATGAACTGGTACTGGGCGGGATCTCCGGGGATGTACATCCATGACCGCGATGTAGGGGGCTGGAGACCCCGCTGTTGCGCTGTGGAACGCAGAAAAAACAGCACAGACCGCAAGATGTGTTCCACAAAAGAATCACTTCGTCTTCCTTCTCTCTGGCATAATGAGATATCGCAACGTACATATAGGTATGCACTGGAGTTGCATTTTAGCTACCTCAACTTCAGAATGGCTTTAATTGTTGCTTATTAAAGCTGTAACACGAAAAAAAACTTTGATTTTGCTTGGAATTTTCATAATTAAGGCATTAAGGGGTTAATAGACATTACTAATCTACTCCAGTAATACAGGTAATGTTGGGTTGTATTGTAGGTAAGCGCCATTCACTGAAGTTGGTCTTCGTCTTCAGGGCTACCAGCCTGGCAAACACAAGCGCTACCATTCAGCTTACGTCTTCTGGTGTTGGTTTTATTGTGTGTGTGTTTATTAACGCAACTGCAAACAACTTGCTATTTAAAGCAGTTATCACTATTCAACATACATTTTTGTGCGCATAACAAGTGTACAATGTTTAACGTCACTTCATATTGTTTTATTTCACAAAAAAAATACACTTCCGTCACTTGTTCTCCGCATGCTTCGCTTGACATCAATTCCCATTGTACGTGAAGCTGAGGAATTTCATGCCCGTCGTAATGATTTTTTCTATGTTGCAAGTTGGAAGACATCAAAACTAGAAATAACAAGGTAGAAACTGGAAACAGATCAATCATGATAGCAACATACACGCTGAAGATTACCCCCCCCCCCCCAACCCACTTTTGAGAAAGCAGCGATGAATTGCATGAGAGCTGACTAAAACACCAGTTGTTTTATATCTCTGTAAGGCCAAGGCCGCTTTTGAAGCGTCATTGACAGTCATTGTGTTGATGTGGTGATTGGGGAACATGACTTGAGAAAAGAAAAAATAGCAAAAGTCTAATACAGGACAACACCTGAAAGTGAGCATGCAAAGGCTGTGGTATCTGCGAGGTGGTACGATGGCTTATCGTTGCTACAGAAGCATTACGCGTCATTCATGGTGGACAAGAAGATGTGCTCTTCTGCAAAAAAAAAAACAAATTGTCTACGAAATGGAATTTTAGGTTGGCTTGAAGTTGGTGGCCTAGTTTTAGGATCGATTCTTGAGAAAGCATA